CATCACTCCCCAGGAGCCCCTGCCCCCCATCACTCCCCAGGAGCCCCGTGACACCGGGCAAGCCCCCGCCCCTCTCCGGGCTTCCCTGTGTCCAGTGAAAAGACTGGCTAGTCCGCCTGTGAGGTCCAGCTCCACACCTGGGATCCCGTTATCCCGTGTCCCGGCCCTGAAGTGATGGAGGCGTCATTGCTCCGATCACAGGCTTTCCCTGGAGCGAGGACCAGTGAGGAAGCAGCGTGGTCAGTGCCCCGCAGCGCCTGCTGTCCATCTTGTCCATGCCCCTGCAGCCAGGGACACCCCACTTCAATGATGCTCTGACCCAGCTGAGTGAAGCGCCTGTACAGACAAGGGTTTCTGCCCCTGAGAAGCACGAGGGCAGGTGTTAAATGCAAGTCGGAGTTTTCAGTGCCTGTGACCACTGCTTTAATATGAACGTTATTTTTCTCTTACTGCTTTCATGAAATGCTTTATTAATGATCTCGAAAGGGGTGAATTAATAAGCCAAGGGACAGCAGGTGGAGACTGAGCTAAAAGAGCTTGATTGTTGGGCATGGGCCCTCCCCCAGTTGGGGAAGTGGGCTCCAGGAGCACCCACGCAGGGGTAGAGAGCTAAGGGGACCTGAGAGCTTCCTGGTTACCCACAACATCCTCCAAGGTTTGGTGGTGGCCGTCTGCCTGGAGAAGAAGCTGTCCCCACTTGGCGTCTGGCTCTTCAGTGTAGTTAGCAGCCCTGGACCTAGACTCAGGACCAGGCTTTAAATTCTGCTTAGTTTCCTTGCTCCCTGGGTGATCTCGACAAGGCACATCCCCTTTGTGAGCTCTATCTGGCCAGCACGGAGCCAGCCTTGGTCCTGATGCTATACCTCTGACCCCACTTCTGGGTTTCTTGCTTATCCTGTATCCCTTCCTCATGGCGATGCAGTCACACAATACCAAAGCCAGCAAGAACTTTAGTTTACAGTGAGGAAATGAGTCTAGACAGAAGTGCTTGCTCAGAGCCACACAAGAACTAAGGCCATTTTTTGGTTTCCATATCACACATATTCATGGTCCTCTCGCCCCATCTCCTTCCCAATCTTCCCTCCCTGTTTACCTTCCTTTTTCTAAGTATATGCTCAGATGCTGCTCCAACTCCATAGCCTAAGAGTGTGTCCCTATGGGAAGCTTTTTAGTTCAGGGCAAACACTTTTATATTCACCTGGTGAAGGAAATATGGCAGTGTGCTTATGGGGAAAGCAAATAAAGCAGTGCTTGCAATAACCCAGCTGGCAGCTGCTGAAAACAGTCAGGTGCTTTTCTCCTTTGCCCCATTGCTAAGCAGTGACGTTCCTCAAATGTTCCGGTCTCCCAAGTGCAGAAAATTCCACTGAGGCTGCTTATCTCCACACCATATAAAACGCCCTGAGACCCAGACCAGGGGTTGTGCATCGGGAGAGGCAGGAAGAAGACACTTTAAGAAGGCCTTGGCTGTTCTTCCCAGCTCTCAATGGATGGGCTGTTTTACTTTGACCCTGTGACCTTTTACCAAGGGGTCGCTTTTCCCTTTGCTCTTCTGTTTAATTTTCTCTGTGCCATGGATTCATTCTCCATCACTGCCAGGTAAGCACGGGAGTTCCTTTTCCTTTCATCTTGGTGAAGGCTTCACCACCAACTGGCTGTGTAACCTTAGGTGAATCCCTTCTCCCTGGGCCTCAGCTTCCTCCTCTGTAAAATAAGGGTGACCTGTGAAGCCCCTCCCAGCTCTAAATCGATGACCTTTAAAGTAGATCGTGGTGCTCTGAGACTTGGAAGCATCCCGCAGCAACAGCCGGGGACCATCTGTGTTGCCAAGGAAGCTGGCGAGCTTTTGTAGCAGGTGGGGAGCATGACATTCGTGCACAATTTCCTAAATGCCACCCTGTCTGCCTTCTCCCTCCTACTCCATTCTGGGCCCGGCTGATTGTCATTCAAAGGGCCTGTCCCTTAGAGATGCTCAATGGGGTGGCCCTCCAACTGTCCAGCCCAGTCTAGGCTTGTTTGTTTTCATCCATTTAGTTCTCTTTGCACACAGTAGGTCATTTCACGAATTGCCATGTGTGCTGTGTGCAGAAGAGCGAAGACCATTATTAGACTGAGCTCCTTGAGGGCAGGGAACATTCTTGCCTTTCTTTGCTATTCTTGGCACTTAACCTAGTGCCTGGCACACAGTGGGTGTGCCATAAATGCTCCTTGTCTTGCTGAATGTGCTGGGGACAAGATCCTCGGATCTGAGATTTAGAGCCGGGAGAGACCTTGGAAGCTGTCGAATCCAACCCCCCACCCCATTTTAGAGATGAAGAAACTGAGACCCAGAGAGGGAAAGTCATTTGCTCGAGGTCACAGAGGTCACCACCGACAAGACGGAAGTTGGGGAGTGCTCAGAAAGGGCACCTTTATGACGTGCATGTGCCCCCTCCATTTCTCAATTGTTTTTCTAAACTGGATCATAGTTTAGATGGACTTCAGGGAGCTGTGAGGGCCACGGCCCTTTTGGTCTGCAGATCTTCACTCCTTAGCTGACCTCTTTGGAGAGTCAGGACCTTTGTTCACCAGGTTTTCTGAGAGATGCTCAGACTTGCTCCCCCTCGCAGCCCAGCTGGCTGCCTGCGACTTTGTCTTGTCTGTGCAGTGACTCTCTTCCTCCCTCCCTGCCTCCGACAGCCTTAGAGACAGTCTTCAAGAGTTGTGGTGGCACACAACCCACCACCCAGTGACTGGGGCCTCTCCCAACAGCAGTTTGAATGGGGGCTCTCGGTGCAGGGTCCTGGAGCTCCAACATGAGACTCGATCGGGTTCTCCCACCTTTTTTCACCTCTTATATTTGGAGACAAAGAGGGGCCTGCCCAGGTGAGTGATAATGTGGTAAGCCAGCATTTGCACCAAGAAGGGAAAGGAGAACACGCAGGCCACAAGACTTACCATGTCCAGATGTGTTTATTAGAGGCCACTCTTTAGAACCAGCTCGGGGGAAGGGGCGCTGTGGCTCTCCAAGTCCGTCTAGATTGGAGTGATGGGGTGCCAGGTCATACGCATGCGGTGGCCTTCCCAGCCTGCCCCTCCTGCACAGGAAATGGCCCATCTGGGGCCTGTGTTGGGGATGCCCTCTTGCTTTTCAGGGGCTTCAGGGTGGTAACTGGCAGGGGGGGATAATAATAATAGCTAGCATCTATGTAGCACTTCAAGATTTGCAACACAACACACACACACACACACACACACAGGAGAAGGAAATGGCAAACTCCAATATTTTTGTGAGAAAACCCTGAATGGGGTCACAAAGAGTCAGACATGACTGAAAATAACAAAATATATGTGTGTGTGTGTGTGCGCACGTGTGCATCTGATCCTCACAACTCTGGAGGCAGGTGCTATTATCACCCACATTTTATACTTGCTGAAACCGAGGCAAACAGGGTGAAGTGACGTGCCCAAGGTCACCCAGCTTGGAAATACCTAAGGCTGGATTTGAACTCTGGTCTTCCTGACCCTAGGCCCAGCATTCTAGGCTGGAGGAGGAAGGGAAGTCTGACTGAAGTTTCTTTTATTTATTTCAAATGTAAAATGCCACATTAAAGAGGGGCCTGTGGAAGACTGAAAAGCCGACAGTTTGGCCTTTTCTTTTTGTCCTAAGCCATGTCTTCAGTGGTTAAAGTGAGCTGTTGGTATCTGTCCCTCATTCTCGAAGAGGGTCAGCGACGTCGGGAGGCTGACGTCTTGTTTCTGCGTGTGTGGCATCGTGGGCATCCGTGCCCTTCTGTCTGTTCCCCCAGCCACCCCAAGTCTGGCTTGGACTATTGCGGTGGCCTTTGGGTCGGTCTCCCAGCCTCAAGTCTGTCTGCTTTCCTGTCCGTTCTCTGCTCAGCTTGTCAGTGGCTGTTCCTAAAACACAGGTCGACCCCCCTGTCACTTCTCTACTTTAAAAACTCCAGTAGGTCCTTCGTGGGGCAGCTAGGTGGCACCATAGTGCACAGAGCGCCAGGCCTGGAGTAGGACACACTCACAGGCTTAAATAACTGTGTGACCCTGGGCAAGGCACTTAAACCCTTTCTGCCTCAGTTTCTTCATCCATAAACCAGGAATAATAATGGCGCCTACTTCCCAGGGTTGTGAGGATCAAATGAGATATTTGTGGAGTATTTAGTAAATCTTTTTTTTATTCCATCACATTTATTTACCATAATTTGTTGAGCCATCCCCTAATTCGTGGGTACCCCTTGAATTTTCAGTTCTTTGCCCCGTTAAAAAGAGCTGCTATAAATATGTATGTATGGGTCCTTTTCCTCGTTATTTTTTTTATCTTTTTTTTTCTGGTCCATCAGTAGTTTTGAATGAATGAATGGATAAAGGCTGTATTAAAAGCTTATTGTGTACCAAACACTGGGCCAAGCTCTGGGGATGCAAACAGAAAAGCAAGACAGTCTGCTCTCAAGCAGCTCACCATTCATGTGGAAGGTTTCAGCTGCAAGGCACACCGGAAGGGCTCGTGGCCCGTAGGATGCTGAGGATGTGAAATAGATGGTCAGCTATCTTCCTTAATGTTATGGCCACTGATAAAGCCATATCAGTTTCTGATGCTGAACCATTTGACAGTGCCAAAGACTGGTGGAAATTTTTCCTTTTCCGAGTCATCAGTAGCTGTGGTTTAGCACTTGCTGGAGCAATTGCCAGGCTGCTTCTCCAAGGAGTTTCTTCCCCATGAAATATGATTGGCTGAGGATATTTGATTGGGAGCACTGTTATTGCCAGAGTTGTTGGGTTCGATGTCCTGAGCTGTCTCCATCAGAGTCTGAGAGAGATGGTCAGGGTGGTGGTGGTGGGCATGGTCTGATTTGCCTGGCCCATGTTGCCTCCTGTTTCCCCCTCAGGGTCTCTTGCTGCTTTAGCTAGGCTGGCTTGCCTGCCTTGTGAGCGGCAAATGGTGGGGATGACTGGCCCCTTCTCCCTTCTGGAGTCTTTCCAGTGATGGTGGAGAGGGTTGGATTGGAAGCAGCATTTGTTTTTTTTTTCTTTTTTTATTAATTTGTTTTTAGTTTTCAACAATAACTTCCATAAGCTTTTGAGTTTTAAATTTTTCTCCCCCTCCCTGCCCCCTCCCCAAGATGGCACGCAATCTGATATAGGCTCTACATATACATTTCTATTAAACATATTTTCACATTAGTCATGTTATAACGAAGAATTAGAACCAATAGGAGGAACCACCAGAAAGAGGAAACAAAACACAACAGAAGAAAAAAAAGTAGCAAATAGTCTGCTTCGATTTGCATTCAGACTCCATAGTTCTTTCTTTGGACGTGGATAACATTTTCCATCATGAGACCTTTGGAGATGTCTTAGATCCTTGTATTGCTGAGAAGGGATAAGTCTATCAACGTCAGTCATCATACAATGTGGCTGTTACCATGTACAACGTTCTCCTGGTTCTGCTCACATCACTCAGCATCAGTCCATACAAGTCTTTCCAGGTTTTTCTGAAGTCTATCTGCTCATCCTTTCTTATAGCACAATAGTATTCCATTACATTCTGATACTACAATGTGTTCAGCCATTCCCCAATTGATGGGTATCCCCTCAATTTCCAGTTCTTTGCCACCACAGAAAGAGCTGCTATAAATATTTTTGTACATGTGGGTCCTTTTCTCATTTGTATGATCTCTTTGGGATACAGCCCTAGAAGTGCTATTGCTGGGTCAAAGGGTATCACATTTTTATAGCCCTTTGGGCATAGTTCCAACTTGCTCTCCAAAATGGTTGGATCAGTTCACAACTCCACTAACAATAGTGCTTTGTACATCTTAAAGCATTATGTGAGGCTATTTAAAAAAATTGTTATTGTTATTATCAAGTGATTTGTGCAGGGCCATATAGCTAGTGTTTGAGGCAGGATTTGAACTCTGGTCTTCCTGCTTTCAACTCCAGCACTCTACCCACCAAACCCACCCTCCCTAAAGGAGACCATCTAAGGTGGGCCTGTCTCCTCATGAGGTTTCTGCAGGCCAGGGAGCCAGGGACCTCTCTCTTGTTCCAGACACATCTTCCTCATCCTGGGAGGCTGCCTGCTTGCCTGGATGGCCATGGCCCAGTACGCGGTGCTAGTCTTCATCCCTGCTTTCTGTGCTGTGGCCCTCTTCCAGTCCGTCCAGCCAGAGAAGGTTCACTGCTGGACGTTCTCCTTCCAGATGACCTGGCAGACCCTTTGCCACCTGGGACTGCACTACACCGAGTACTACCTTCAAGAACCTCCCTGCATGAGGTAAAGGAGGGCCCCACCCAGCCCATCTGTTGGCAGTGGCATCATTTATAGGGACTGGCTATAGAGCCTTCCCTGAAATCTTTCCATAGCCAAGCACCTCCTTTTTTTAAATTACTGCCTGTTCTCAGCCAGAACTCCAGGGAGACCAGCTGAGACAGGCAGTGGGGGGAACAGAGCCATAAATAGGAATTATTTCCCTGCATCGGGACAGGAGAGGTCAGGAGGAGAGCTCATGACGGGGAGAAAGTGAAGGACTGTGGATAGCGGGTGGGGAGGGGCGGTGCAGAGAAGGTGGGCAAGAAGCCAAGGGTGTGACAGCTGTGGGAAGAAGAAAGCAGCTCTGAGCTGGAGCTGTCGTCACTCCCGGGATCTGGGGACAAAGACCACGCTGCCCGGCCCCAGTTATGACTCAGGGAGGGAGGTACTGTAGAGTGACTGCAGGGTCGGGGAGGAGGGAAGTGTGGCGGCGCTGTTACCAGAAGGAGCTGGGTAGGAGGCAGAAAAACCAACTCAACAGGAAGGACCAGGGCTGGGGTTGATGGGGAAGATGCAGAGACCTGCCATGGAAGGCATTTGGAGGAAGCCAAGAGAAAAGGCGAAACGTTCAGAGTGAATGACTGTCATTTCCATTAATTACCCTCCCAACAACCATGTCAGGGAGGTCACCCTATTCTATAGATTATGAAACTAGGCCAGCAAGAGCTCGGCCACATGCCCCGTGACTGGTGGTTATGCTCCCATAATGCTAGAGCCTCTACCAAATCCAGCCCAGTCTGCCAGCGCAGAACGAATCACTAAGTCAATCAACAAGCATTTATTAAGCGCCTACTGTGGGCCTGGCAGTGTGCTGGCCTATCAGAAGCAAATCCCAAATCAGAATTATGCAGTCAAGACACACTTCATAGTACAATTTTCAGCTACATTTTCATTTCTGGGATGACAATCTGGGAGGGGCTGAACCTAATGATTTTTTAATGGTGTTATACCACTTCTATACAAGCTGTTTACCAACTGATGGCTTTAATTTTGTTTAGAAATCTCTCAGTTGTTTTCTTTTCTTGCTTTTTTTTTTGGTGAGGTAGTCCGGGTTAAGTGACTTGCCCAGGGTCACACAGCTAGTAAGTGTCAAGTGTCTGAGGGCAGATTTGAACTCAGGTCCTCCTGACTCCAAGGCCAGTGCTCCATCGACTACGCCACCTCGCTGCCCCTTCTCAGTTGTTTTCTAAATATATTCTAAATATAAATACATTTCTAAATGTATATGGTTACCAAAATCCAGAAAAATATACAAGGAGAAAAAATCTCAGGACACAAACGAATGGAGTCGTTTTCTTCCTGTCTTGTCCAAGCTGAAGTACTTACCTGGAGGGCCATTCTTTGGTGTCGGGTGCTGGGCAAGAACTCTCCATTCACTCCGGCCTGGTCTTGAGCAGCCGGCGTCTGCTCGGGGGGCCAGTTATTGCAGAGGGAGCTGGGGCCCAGGGTTTGCCGTCCCCCCTGCTCCCAGCTGGCTGCTGCTCCGGGAGATGGGGCAGTTGAGTCGGTGCTGGTCAGGCCTCCTCTCTCTCGCCCATCCGTGATGGGAGGCAGGCTTTTCCCGGGCTGGTTTCTCCGCCTCTTCCAGGTTCTGTATCGCCCTTTCTTCCCTCATGCTCCTGACCCAGAGAATCACCTGGCTGTCTCTGGACATCAGTGAGGGACGAGTGGTGGTACAGGAAGCCTGGCGAGGCCCCCGCCTCCTGTCCTTCTGCAGCTATCTACTCTTCTTCCCGGCACTTCTGGGCGGTCCCCTGTGCTCCTTTAGGAGGTTTCAGGCTCAAGTGAGTCGGCCCGAGGCACAGTGGAGGCCGCCGTCCTTGGGCCCTGCCGCCAGGAGGGGCCTGCTGCTCCTGGGGCTGCAGCTGCTGAGAACCTGGGTGAGGGGGCTGCTCGGAGCCGGCGGCAGCCTGGCCGACTGCCACTGGCTCGGCTGCGTCTGTGTCATGTGGACCACCGCCGCGCTCTTCAAGCTCACCTATTACTGTCACTGGATCCTGGATGAATCTGTCCTCTGGGCAGCAGGCTTGGGCCCGGACTCCGACCCAGCCCTCCACGGGGAGGGGGACGTCTCGGACGCAGACATCTGGACCCTGGAGACAACGCACAGGCTCGCCCTGTTCACCAGGACTTGGAACCGCAGCACCACGAGGTGGCTCCGGCGGCTGGTATTCGAGCGGGCCGAGGCCTGGCCGCTGCTGCAGACGTTCGCCTTCTCCGCCTGGTGGCACGGGCTCCACCCGGGCCAGGTCTTTGGCTTCCTGTGCTGGGCGCTGATGGTGCGAGCCGACCACCTGATTCACGGCTGTGCCAAGGTGCTGATCGCCTCCTGGCCGGGCAGGCTGCTCTACCGGGCCGTCACCTGGGCCCACACGCAGCTCATCGTGGCCTACATCCTGCTGGCGGTGGAGCTCAGGAGCGTCTCCGCGCTCAGGCTGCTGGGGGCCTCCTGCAACAGCCTCTTCCCGCTGGTGTCCTGTGTGCTCCTGATTCTGTTAGCAGGGAGGGAGAAGCGAGCAGGAGCCTCCCCGGCCCCTTTCACCCAATAAACAGGGCCTTGCCGAGATGCTGGTGTCCCTGCCCTGAGGGGCGCCGCGGCCTCGTTGGGGACCATTCAGGCCATTCTGGTCAGAGACCAGGAAGCTTAATCTGGGTAGGGTGCGTGGAGGACACGCGGTCCTTTCCCGTTCTCATGGCCCGCACGCCGTTCTTCGGCCTTGCTCACTCACATCACCTCTCGCCTCACGCCTGCCACCATCTCTGGCCGCTTCCCCACCTATGGAGGTGGTGGGCTTTGGCGGGGTTACAGAGGCCAAGATGGGACCTCCCTGGAGAACGGAAGCCCTCTTCTCACAGATGGGAGGCCTGAACAGTTATTTGGTCTTTTGCAGTTTCTGACTAGGTGATCTCTGAGGATGTTTTTACCTTTAAAATTTTTTACTATATGACTCAAGTTTGAATACAATATGATTTTTAAAATATGAGATTTTTCTTTAAAAAACCAAAACAAAACTCCAGTAGCGTTTCCGATGTGTTTCAACATTCCAGGCCCCATGATTTCCTCAGTTTAGGAGTCTGAGCATACTTCCACAAAAAAAGTAGTAACATTGTTTGGTGATATTACAAGTTAAACAAACTCACGGGGGCTGGTCTGGGTACCTGACCACCACTGGTAATGTTGATTCTACGGAAAGATGTGTCCCAAATCCAAACGCTGCGCTTCATCTTGAAATGGCCTTTTCCTAACACGACCTGCTGGCTTCTGTTCCGAAAGTTTTCATTTCTGTGGGTCTTCTTCTAAGAGTGAGGAGGGTCTAAACAAATGGTGGCGTGTGAATATAACGGAATATCACCACAGGGCAAGAAGCCAAGGGACGAGGAATTCAGAGATTCCTGTACTGAAGCAGCCACACCAGCAAAAGGACACAACATACACAAAGACACAGCAAGTAGGGTGGCTTCAGCACATCCTGGCGAGACTTAGACGAACTGATACAGAGGAAAGTGAGAAGAACCAGGAGAATGTCGTACACGGTAACAGCGATACTATAACGGAAATCAATCATGAAAGACTCAGCTACTCTGATCGAGACAGTGAATGATTTGAGACAACTCCAAAGGCCTCATGATGAAAACCGCTATTCACCTCCAGAGAGAGAAAGAACTGGTGAACTCTGAATGTAGATTGAAGCATGTTTTTTACTTTATTTTTCTTTCCTTTTTTTTTGTCTGCGCTTTCTTTTACAACATGGCTAACATGGAAATATGTTTTACGTGATTTCACATGTATAATTGATATCATATTGCTTACTTTCTCAAAGAGGGATGGGAGGGAATTGAAACTCAAAATTTTTAAAGAATGATTATTGAAAAATTGTTTACATGTAATTGGGAAATATTTAACAAAATAAATAATAATATATTTTTTAAAATGACAACAAAGTAAATGGAAAGAACCAATGAATGAATTCTGTTTTAATTATAAGGATGAAGCCCACCCCACAGGAAAGTTCAGAAAATTTACCTCCTCCTTTCGTTGTAGAGGTAGAGGACTATTGGTGAAAAATATTGCATAGACTATGAGATATGTTCAATAATATTAGTTGATATTGCTGAACTATTTTCCTCCTCTTAAAATCTCTGTGATAAGATTTTTTTTTAAAGAGCGTTTATTATATTGTAGAAAAAGACATCAATTTTCATCCAACTTTATTCCTACATGTTGCTTTTCTCACATTTGGTTTAAGATGTGTTCTGAGACTCTTTGTATCCCAAGATAAAGTGCATGACTGGATGTTAAATCAGGTGTCCTGATAAAGTTATTTGACTGGTCAGACCTTTTCATCCAGGGGGGCCTCAGAGTGAACACGAAAAAGTGCCCTTTATAGTCTGACCTTTTGGAATATTCCCAACACTGACAGAAGCAACAGGGGCAGAGAAAACAATCACAGCATTGGAAATGTGGAAGTTCATGTGTTGTTTACATTATTTTGCAGCAGTACTCATACGTGCAATGCCAATACATATAATTTTTCAGAATAAACAGAGAATAGTCCTTTGATGTTTGCCTAACCAAAGCCAACTGAAGTGACAGTACCAGGAGCACTGTGCCATAAAAATAGGACCATGAATTATATCTGCAGCAATTTTACAGCAAAAAGGCCTTGAGCTTATGCTCTGAGATGGTTCTGAGACCTGCCTTTGGTGACTCATCTGTAAACATGTTAGGCAAAACGTCATTTCCTGACCTTATCAGCCCCCTTTCACTAATGCTTCGCATCAGGGAGTCTCAACCATGGAGAAAGGGCCATTGGTTACCATGGTTTCTGTTTTAATTTTGGAAACAAAACTGCCTGCAAGGTTACCATTAGCGAGGCAGCCACGCTATCAGTGTGTCACAGGTTTCTTTAACGCTTTCCTTTCCTTAGGACTAGGAGCGCCTCAGAAACAAAGAACAGGATGTCTTGTGTGTTTGCTTAAAAACAGAATCTCACAAGCAAAAACAAGAACTTGAAATCTTTATTGTTTTGTCATCAAAAGTTTTCCCTCTTTTGGACAGCAATGCTCTATCAATGCATATTCTATGGAAAAGCCACATGTTAAGTATCTTAGCCTAGAAACCAGAGGTGGTGGCAGCACTACATCAAGCCTAGGCAAGCTCTGAGGCACGGTGCTGCCCCACCACCGCAATTAGTATATGACAAGTGTATGCAGCAGGTAGAAAAAAGGCCAAGGAAATAAAGGGGAACAGCAATGAGCCACCCTGGGGAAGACCACTGCCAACAGAACATGGGGAGGGGCCGGGGGGGGGGGTCACAGGCACACCCACAGCTGTCTAAGGCATATTGCCTCAGCACACTCGGACTAATCTGGGTCACCAACATTTTAACACTGCCGGTCAGTTCTGGCCCGCTGGGCAGGGGTGTGCAGTCCACCACCCGCTGGCAGTCCCTGCGATCTTGTGGCTCGTTTCCCAGGCAGAAAAACAACGCAGGGTGATTTTACATCTCTCCAGGAATAAAATGAATGTGCTGACATCTGTTCCCACTTCCTTCAGGAATACACTTGATCAAAAAGCAAACAGTAACTGTCATGATCGTTCCTCACTGTCTAAGAATGAGCCATTTTTATGTATGTACATCAATAACTGAGTAAACAAAACAAACTAACAAAAGCCTAACAGAACAGTCAGGTGAACTCAAAGTTTTTCGTGAGTTCAGTTTAACAAATAGTTATTATTTATGTGCCCAGTACACCAGGGCATCGAGTGCACTGAAAGGTGTAACTCTCTCTCTCTCTCTCTCTCTGTGTCTCTCTCTCACACACACACACAATTTGATCATGCTCAGTTAAGAGTGAGAGATTTGCAGCTGAGCATTTTAGGCTCCAGTTGGGTCTAAAGTGGCAACAGAGGCAGCCAATGATGTTACAGGAATTGGACGCCTAAGGAAAGGGCAGGTCTGACAGGACTCTCAGACCGCTGAGAGGTATGCAGGAAACTTGTCTTAAATATTAAGTTACACGTGACCTAACATTACAGAACACCAACTACAACTGTCATCGACTAAATGTGAAGATTATTAATGCGAGAGCTGCAAGATTGACAAATCACTTGGGAAATCATTTCAAGACTTGCAAAGAGAAAAACTAATGCTTTCGCTGCACAGGACGGCAATCCTGCTCGTTTAGTATTATTAAACTACATTTGAAAAGGTATTTTAGTTCAGATATACTATGTATAAAATAAACTTTAAAGTGGGCACAGAGAAGGAGGGCTTTCTTTTCTAGATGCTGCAAACATAAAACTTTTCATCATCAGTAGTGCCATCAACATCCATCTCACCCAGAGTAAAACATGAAAGGCTGCTGACAAGATCAAAAATCTTACATATAAATAGAAACAGGCCTTTAAAAATGGAATTGCAACGTCGGTTGCTCCCCACAATGTAGCTCAATCTATTTATAACCACAAGAAACACAAATAAAAACGGGCGGAAAAGATCTCCTTTTTCGCATCTTCAACCCCAGCATGGAAGTTCAACCAGGAAATAATGAGAGGAGCGACGAACACTCCTTCTGAGTAGCTCCAAAAAGAATTTTTCCCGACTCCAATCCCCAACCCGGCCCTGGCCACTGAGACTTGTCAGTCTCGTTGAGGCAGGGCCGGCTGCGATTTTTTGGCGCCCGCCATGTTTTCTTCCATGCGTGTCGCCGCTGACGTGGCTGCTCAGCAACAGGACCTGCACCTGTCTGAACAGGCGCATCATCTGCATCACGCGGGAGCGGCTGTGGGAATCGGGGTGATTCCTGGAGGCTAAGCTGGACCTCGATCCGGGACCGTAGCCTGTTGGAGGACGGGTCTTCCCTTGGCATACTCAGGTGGTGCTTGTTCCATTAAAAAGGGGCAGGGGCACGGCCTAGGGAGCTAACACTGAACAGGGACAACGCCTGAGATGGACATCCCAACTCAGCAGGCTCCGTGAAAAGCAGAGAAGCGAGGAGTCCAACCTAGCTCAGAAAAAACAGAAGTCTGTGAACCCAACCCTTTAGTGAGTCACGGGGGAAATGCTCTCCCAGCCAGCAGCAGCGAGAAGAGTCTGTCCCCAGAAGAGCAGCCCCCGGGGCCCGCTCGACCGTCTCCTTCCTCGTCCAGCCTCTGGGCGGCCTGGATGGCCACCAGTGACAAGAGGTCCGCGGGGGAGAGTCTGGTAACCGAGCTCCTCACCATTGCTGCCAGCTGAAGTCGTCGTTGCTGCCAAAGACCAAGAAGAACCCGAGGATTGTCGCGAAGATGACCGTGTTGCCCGTGAGAACCAGGGCACAAGCCCCCCATTCGATCTAGGGAGATAAGAGCACCGAGTCACGTCACTCAAAAAGCCGGCAAGCCCTGATCCCCTGACCACAACTGCTCCCTGCCCTCTGGCCTCTGCTGATTCAGACAGATGGACGGACAGAAACCCTCTGACCCTGCCGGCTCAGACAGACGGACAGACACCCTCGGACCCAGCCGGCTCAGACAGACAGACAGACACGCTTCGGTCGCTGCTGG